TGCACATGGGCCGGGCAGTATACAAAACAGCACAAAGAGGGTCCCCAGCACACTTTTAAAACTCCCATTCCTACAACTTGACAGCACTGGTGCTTAATGATTGGTGGCTCAGGCACCCAACACTGTCACATGGAGAAAGAAGATAGTACATAGTCCATGGTAAGCAACAGGTAGCGAGTTGAGAGATTATAAAATACAACCCTACAGGCTTCAGTGAGAAAGGCTTAAAGTAATCAAAAAGCCTTCCAACTGAACCAGGGCATTTGATTATTTAAAATCCTTCTCACCATAACCTCCATGTTATACCTTCTCATTGAGTCCCAAGCCCTTCTCCAACCATTCTCATCTACAGTTTTGTGGTATCCTAGGGTTGCTCCAGACGCTGCTATGGGTTGCTTGAGGAAGCACAAATGTAACCACTAGTATAAAGGACATTCTTCCTTCAGCTGTCTAACAATGTAAGTGATCCGTAGTTCCACTGACCATAAATGTAAGAGGCCCTTCTCTATCAACCATCAATATAAAGGGGGGGGGGGGGGGCCAGTTTTCTACAGGCCACCAATGTAAAGTTCACTTACCATAAATGTAAGAGGCCATGCCCCACCAACCCCACCAACCATAGATATAGGGGACACTTTTCTACTGCTCACCAATGTACAGTGAGCTTAGCATAAAAGTAAAAGAACATTCTCTGACAACTATTAGTATAAGGGGGGCTTTTCTACTGACCATCAATGTAAGATGCCCTTACCATTAATGTAAGAGGCCATTCTCTACTGACCATCAATATGGGGATACTTCCCTACTGACCATCTATGTAAGATGCACTTACCATTAATGTAAGGGGCCATTCTCTACTGACCATCAATGTAAGATGCAATTACCATTAATGTAAGAGGCCATTCTCTATGGACCATCAATATGGGGATACTTCCCTACTGACCATCAATGTAAGATGCACTTACCATAAATGTAAGAGGCTTTTCTCCACTGACCATCAATACAGATGGCACTTTTCTACTGATCACCGATGTAAGGTGCACTCACCATAAATGTAAGAGCCCATTCTCTATTGACCATCAATATGGAGATACTTCTCTATTGACTACCAATTTAAAGTGAACTCATCGTAAATGTAAAAGGTCATTCTCCACCGACTATTAGTATAGGGGTCGCTTTTCTATTGATGCACTAAGATGCACTTACCATAAATGTAAGAGGCCATTCTCTATTGACCATCAATATGGAGATACTTCTCTACTGACCACCAATGCACTTACCATAAATGTAAGAAGCCATTCTCCTCCAACCATCAATAAAGGAGTCACTTTTCTACTGACCACCAATGTAAGGTGCAATTTTCTACTGACCACTAATGTAAGGGGGAGGGGGGGCATCTCCACTGACCTCTAATGTGAGGGAACGTTACAATTTTCCCTGCCTCTTCTCCTCACATCATTATTATTGTTGTTTAATTTTTATTGCATTATTATATAACACACAAGGGTGTTCAAAATGATCCAATTTGGGTGTCAAATACTCTAGGTACACCAAATTCTTTATTAATGTATTTTTGATCATGTCTTCAATTCGCTGATAATGCTCATTGTACCATGACCTGTAGATCCAATTATTTTTAGGCAGGGGTTGCCTGAGACTTGAAAACTTTTTCAAGAAATCCCTTGGGTTGAAAAGCTTGAGAAAGGTGTTAGGGTTTCTTATTCTTCCTCAGCCAGTTGGCTGTGCGTGGCTTGTCAGTATGTGGCGCCCTCTTATGACCAAACCTGTTTACATCATCTTCCTGCAACTTCCGCCAATACTTCTGTCAAATCCTTGTCTCAGAATGATGATGCAGGCACCAGGTCACTATTTAACCTTCACCTTGCCCATTCAGTCTCAGGTCAGATCGAGAGCGAGCGACGGTATGTGTTCGCTCACTTCCCGATCTATTGAGCCGACCTGTGACAGTTTCATTGTCTCAGGTCGGCTAGAACTATGAGGTGAGTGATTTTCACTCGCCTCATACTTCTCCTTTAAGTTTCAGTGTGGTTTTTTGGTTCCCTAACAAAAGGATACGATTTCCATGTACGATCCTGTCTCTGGCTGACTGAACTCCTGGTTCCTTACTCCGGCTTTGTTTCCGTTCATTCTCCGTGCTCCCTGACCGGGCTCGGCTGACTACCCGTTTTGGCATCTGACCCCTGCCGTGGCACTGACAACGTCCGGGACTTTCTCAATTGTTTTTTGCCATTTATGTTTATTGTTGTCTTCAATAAACTAATTTTATATTTTAAACCTGCACTTAAAGGACAACTATGGGGTCAGTGTTTTTCACCATAGTTCTCCTCAGGATCACGGGAGGACACAAACTAGCGTCCTCCCGTCACCCAAAGCTCAGTATATAGGGAGCTGCAGCTCGCGGTATGCTGAGATGCCGCAGCCGGGACGGATCCCGACAATACTGTCCGGATCCACCCAGCTGCGTGAGTGGCAGCTGGCTCTGCCTATCTAGAGGCAGAGCCAGCTGTACCAGCCCCCTCCCCCGTCCGTTCCGCCAGTCAGCGCTGGAGGATCAGAACGGGGAGGGGGAATCCCTGCAGGGAGCCGTGAGTGACAGTCACCACTCTCTGCAGGGACATGATCGAGAAGTGAGCGAACGCCGGTATGTGTTCTCTCACTTCCCGATCTATTGAGCCGACCTGTGACAGTTTCATTGTCTCAGGTCAGCTAGAACTATGAGGCTGAGAGATTTTTACTCGCCTCATAGTTCTCCTTTAAGTTTCAGTGTGGTTTTATGGTTCGCTAACAAAAGGATACGTACTCCAGAGAAGCCGTGGTTTCCATACACTGCAATGTTGATGGCCAATCAGCTCTTAAAAAGGTCTATCTAGTTTGGAATAAATGGCTCTATGATATTAGGCTACATATGCACTTTACACCAGCCACTCAGGATGGGTCATTGGGGCGTAAAGGAAAGATTGGCCTGACTCCACCCACTATATTGAAAGGAGGAACAATCCTCTTATTTTCGGGATATGTGATGGAATTAGACATGTGAAAACCTTCTGTTATAAGATGTGCTACTAGTCAGGAACCGGATCTGAACCCGGGGCCTCTGGTGTAGGTGGCGGTGGTTCTTCCTGCTGAGCCACTTTAGAACTTTGGATAGCTCCTTGCCTAATCTGTGTAATCCTCAATTATACCTAATCTCTGCTGAACTCTGAACTCCTTGCTCCTCCCTTGAACTTCCTATTTAAGCCACGCCTCTGCACTTCCTCTTTGCCAAATTATTGTGCTCCTGCCAGTATCTTGCTTCCTGCTCCCTCTGTGCTACAATCCGCTCATACTGCTACCCGTGTACCGACCTTTGGCTGCTGATTCACCGACTACTCTCATCGTCTTCTGCTTCATACCTGATACCTTTGGCTCCTGACCTCGGCTTGATCTCTGACTACGCTTCTGCCTGCTCCTCCACTACTACGGTCTGCTTGTGTACCAAACCCGGCCTGTTATACTAGGAATTGCCTGCTGCTTCAGCTGCTGGACTCCGAGCCTGATCCCAGATGGTGACAGCTACACTCAAATAATAATGAAAAAGGATGCAGAATAGTTGATAATAATTTTATTAAACTCCAAAATTGTTAACATTCAGATATCAATGAAAATGTATTTATTTTTTCTACGTGATGTAACCGTTTCTTGTAACGCTGAATGAACTCATAAATATCAATCTATTTCACATATATAAAGTAGTAGATGATTGACTCGATGGACCGGTGTCTTTATTCAACCGTACCTACTGTGTAACTATGTCAAAATACTGCATGTGGAACCTGTTTAAATGGTTCTCTGTGTGCTATTGATGGGGAAACCTCCCGATGGTCCCTTCTTTAAACGCTCATTGTGCTGACTCTGATAAGACAAGATATTTATTATGTATGCTGCAATAGAAAAAATCAACAGTAAAGGAGAACTATGAGGTGAGTGATTGTCACACGTCGTCTCTATAGATCGGGAAGTGAGAGAACACATACCGTCGCTAGCTCACGTTCCGATCATCTCCCTGCAGAGAGCGGTGACTGTCAATCACCTCTTCCCGCATGGATTCCCCCCCCCCTCCCCGCTCCGAACCTCCAGCGCTGACTGGCGGAACGGACGGGGGAAGGGGCGGGCACAGCCGGCTCTGTCTCTAGATAGGCAGAGCCAGCTGTCACTCACGCAGCTGGGTGGATCTCAACTGCATTGTCGGGATCCGTCCCGGCGGCGGTGCTCTCAGTATATAGTGAGCTGTAGCTTGCTATATACTGAGCTTTGGGTCACGGGAGGAGGTTAGTATATGTCCTCCCGTGACCCTTAATAGAACTATGGGATAAAAAGGTTACCCCATAGTTCTCTTTTAAGCACGCCATGGATCCATATCATAGTCCAAGAGTTTATAGAAGCAATCACATGACAATGAGTGTAGGGGCTACATCCTGGACTCAAGCAGGACCCCTTCATCGGACATGTGATGATCACATGGCTGACAAAGGGTCCACCATGGCTCCGAGACGTTCCCCTTGCACTCATTGACATGTGATTGCTTCTATAAATTCTTGGACTTTGATATGGATCCATGGCGTGCTTTCCTTTAAGTTGACACAGGTCAACCAGCTGGTCAGTACTGCAGCACCCCCACGTGCTAGGCTTTACCCAACAAGCATTGCTATGGGACTATGTCTATGTATAGAAAAGAGGGGAAGGGGAAATTTAGAAGGATGCAAATGGATTTCACAGCTTCCTATTTTCAAAGGTTAGCTAACCTCTGGTCCCACAGTAGTGCTGATGGAGTGAGGGTTCAATGAACTGATCCTTGGGGTTCCATGTTTCGCCAAGCATGTGACATATTCCATGTATACACCAAGCATGTGATACATGAAATATACATGGAAATAACTCTGTATTAGAACTGTAATCACGTTTCGTTGTGTTATGGGGAAGTGGTGGGGGATGGGTTCTTCCATTTTTCAGTAGAGGACTTTTTCCAGATAAGCGTTGAGGAACATCCCTGTCGGGTCAAGCTTCTCTCTGATGTTTTTGAATTTGTTGAACGCAGGATACATCTTCTCAAAGTCTTTACGGGTACAAGTGTGAGCCTAAAACGAAAACACAGACACAGATTATACACCATGAATGAAACTCACTCCCAAGCAGGGGCGTCCCGAGGCTGGGTGACACCCGGAGCGGTAACCGAGTGTCACCCCGCCGAGACGTCACTGCGCATGCGCTTGACGTCACCACGCGCATTCGCGATGACGTCATATCGGCCGTATTCTGATACCAGAGAGCAGAGAAAGGAGGGGACAGTCACACGGCGGGATAAGGTATGCCGCCGGGTCCCCTCCTCTCTCCTGATACTGTCGGGCGTTCGGTCCATGACCGAACGCCTGACTTTTCAGAGGGGGTGACACCAAAATGACTGTGAGTCATTTTGGTGTCACCCCTCCAATGGTGTCACCCGGGTGCGGGCTGCACCCCCCGCACCCCCCTTGTGACGCCACTGCTCCCAAGCTTGTAGTCTCTCTGGGGCCAGGTGCCGGCCAAATGGAGCTCATCAATGCTCTCCATGCGCAGTAAACAGGGAAAAAATAATAATTCGCACTCCGATGATATCAGCAGTCCTAAAGCTTTATTGTCACAGACAAATCACAACAAATCCATGCACACTCTCCTCCCTGAATAGGGCGCAATTATAGAGCTCAATCTACGGTTCAGCCCTATTTAGATGCAACACATCAAAGTGAGGAGATTCTGGCCGGATTTGCTGTGATTTGTTCAGAACAATAAAGCTTTGTGATGTCATCAGACTGTAGACAATTGTTTCCTGTTTACTACAAGGATTATGCAATATATAGCCAAAATTTCCTGAGGTGCACTAACATGTTTTGATGCGTTTCTACTGAAATACGCATCACGGAAAAACACACAAAACTGCATAGGTGTGTGTCCCGTTCACAATTGTCCGTTTAGAAGCAGCAAAACTGCATGCATGTAGAAATCCCATTCTTCCCTATGGTGCTTGTTCACATGTGCTACAGCTTATTGTAAAAGGGAAACTAGAAGGGCTTATATGCACCTATGCATGTGCGTTACCACAAGTGCTGCAATGGAACAGGGTGAATCCAGCCTATGGGTGTGTTGAAGCTAAGGTTATATTTGGGAGCTAGTGTAAGTCCATAGCCAAGAGTTTGCGCGGGTCCCAGTCTTCTGGGTTGCCGGAAAACAGGCGCTAGTGCGCATGCGCACACACCGCAACGTGCCGCACAGGAAGTGACACCTTGCTCTCTAATGGATGATCCTATTTAAACCAGCTGGCCCAATGGGTCCGTGCTGAACGGTCTTCTGTGTTCCTGCTAGTTTGTATGCCTGTTACCTTGATCCCGGATTGCTCTGACTTCCAGTGATTGCTGCCTGCCCCTGACCTCTGCTTGTTCTCTGGATTCTGCCTCTGCCTGCTCCTTTGGTACCGTGCTGACCGTCTGGCTTTGACCCCTGGCTTGTTTGACTTTGCTCCAGTTTCAACTGCAAACCAAGCTGACATCTCAGCGCAAAATCAGCCCTGCTCACAGTGGCGTCACAAGGGGGGTGCGGCCCGCACCTGGGTGACACCATTGGAGGGGTGACACCAAAATGACATAGATGGAAATGGGACAACCCACACAGTAGGTCAAGTCAAGTCTATATGTTGTTTCTGTGGAGGTGTGGGCAGGCTGGTGCTAGATATTTATTGGATGGACTGCAGACACCTGGCCTAAGCCAATACAGGGGGTAAGTACTGACCTATGAAGTGGGGTAGGGGGGCACAGCTCTGTGTATTGAGGGATCTAGTGAGTCAAAAGTGAACATGTATTTCAACCTAACCACACAGAATTAAGCTCACTCAACCCTTTGAATACCTATCTCCTAAATGTAACCTTAGCTTTAACACACCCATTGACTGGGGATTGGGGGAATGTTTAGTTACAAAGTGAGCCCTGTTGCCAGCCTACTTATATGTGGGAGGGGAAGCATGTGAGACACAAATGAAGGAAGATTCGGCTCAGTCAGGGTGGGTAAAAGAGGTTTTTTGTATACTGAAGGCTTGTGCATCACATAGTAACTGGGCTTGGGACTTGTTGAGACCATCATACAGAAACCTTCAGATGAACTTCACATTTTTCGCAAACATTGACTGACTTCATGCCGGAAACTCACAATCACCGCAAAGAAGTCTCAGTTACAGCGAGCAATCATAAACGGATCCTGAACCCAGCAGGACCTGATACTTTTATCTTATAAGTGTCAAGGTGCTGAAGATGATAAATCCACAGCTCACATGGAAATCCCTCTCTAAGCTTTGTATTACCTTAGCCCAGTGGGGTCGTCCTCCAACACGTTTCATAATCTGCTCATATTCTAGCCAGTATTCTCCATGTGGGACATCTTTTCCATATGGCCTGAAGAAAAATGCTGTTATTATTACAGAGTATCTATAGTCTATTTTAGATGTGTGTGCTCATGTTATAATGGAAACAAAATGTAGAACCGCACACCGCCTATTGTTCTGCATATATTTCGCCCTCCTACTAACCACTGTGGTAATTGAAAGTGTGAAGATCCCATGAGATCCCTTTAAAGTATTGCCATGCTCATCCTTTTCCTTCCAAACTCTTCTAGCCCTCGGTTCCCTGAGGGCTCAGTAAGGCTGCCTATAGCGGCATGATGTACAGGGCCGGATTTACTCTTTCTGCTGCCCTAAGGCAGGAGTTCCTCAATGCGCCCCCTACCTGCCAAACCCCCTCCCCTCAATGAAGAATGGCAACCAGATGGTGGGGGGGCTGGATTGGTTTTAATTTTTTTCTTTCTTTCTTTTTTTCAACTTTTTTTAAACCACTATTTTATTTTTTTAATTTTTATTCGTCTTAGTACTTTTTATAATTTTTTTACTTTATCACTTTTTATTTTAATTATTTCATATTATTTTGTACTTTTTTTGGGTACTTTTTATTTATTTTATAATTTTTTAGTTTTTACCAAGTTTTTTTTTACCACTTAACTTTATTGCTATCACACAGGAGGTAACAAGCCCCTGTGTGATAGCATTTGGAGGTGACGGGTTCTCTTTATTGAACCTGCAGAAGCGGTGAGACAAGTTTTTTTTTCATGCTGGCTGGTGAGTGTGCTGGGAAACTTTTTGCTGTTTGCTCTTTATTGAACCTGTCACCTCCAATACAGGAGTACAGGACCACAGAGGAGGGACGGCGGGGGGGGAGGGGGCGGCTCAGAGCTGCACACATATTACTAGTGATCTCGGCAACATTGCTGAGATCACTTGTACTAAAACACCAGCTTCCCAGCTGTAAATGTAACCCATAAATGCCAGAAGCAGGGCTAAATGTAGAAACAAAACTACCCTTTTGCAGCTGTGCTGCCCCTCTACTCCCTGCTGCCCCAAGGCCCGGCCTCGGTGGCCTTGTGGGAAATGCGGCCCTGATGATGTACCTCTCACTCCAAGCCAAAAACAACCCAAAGTTATGCCAACAACACACCAATCCGGCAATTATACTTTAATTAAAAACGCCTCGCCTCTAAAACTCCAGATCTTCAGATGGAGTTTTAGATGTGAAATGTGTTTAATGAAGGTATAATTAAAAGATTGGTGTGCTGCTGGTATAACCGCTGATTGAAATAGAAAATCCCGTCTTCAAAAGCCATTACAATGGTGTACCCTGGGGGTCTAGGCACACCGCCTTTGGCACCCAAAAGAACCTCTACGATACAGAACATTTCCTTGTTTTACTTCTCTTAACCTGGATTAGAATATTGTGACTGTGTGTAAGTAAGCTTCTATGAGATGATTGTATTCCTAACAAATATTATAATTGTGGAGAATTTATATTGCGCCCAACAGTTTGTGAAATGTAAACGGAGACAGTACAGTGACAAAACAATTCAAGACAAGAGGGTCGGGAGGGCCTGACTCATGAGAGCTTACAATCTACAAAGGAAAGGCAGGTAACACAAAGAGGTAATACCTGCGTGTGGATGAGTTTAGTTGTTAGGTAGAAGTTGGTAGGCTTCCTTAAAGTGATGAGTCTTCAAGCCGGACAAAGTAGGAGATAGCTGGACAGTTAGGGAGATCCAGAGGATGGGAGAGGCTCTGGAGAAGTCAATGAGGTGAGCATTGGAGGAGGTAATTAGAGAGCTAGAGGACTTGGGAGGAGCTCAGAGGACAGTTTGGGTGATATTTTGAGACAAGGTTTGGTCATGTAGCTCGGGGCAGAGTTGTGGACGGCTTTGTATGTTGTTAGGATATAGAATTTTATTCATTGGGTAAGTGGAAGCCAGTGGAGGGATTGGCGGAGAAGGGTGGGGGATAGAAGCCAATGGAAGGATTGACAGAGAGGGGCGGGGGATGAAAGCCAGTGGAGGGATTGATTGGAAAAGAGGGGTAGGGGTGGAAGCCAGTGAAGGGATTGGAAGCCAGTGGAGGGATTGGAAGATAAAGGCAGGGGATGGAAGCCAATGAAAAGAAAGCCAGAGAGGGGCAGGAGATGAAAGTCAGTTGAGCGATTAGCAGAGAGGGGTGGGGGATGGAAGTCAGTGGAGGGATTGGCAGAGAGGGGTGGGATGGATGGAAGTCAGTGAAGGGATTGGCAGGGAGGGTTGGAGGGTGGAAGCCAGTGTAAGGATTTGCAGAGAGGGGTGGTGGACACTGACTGGTTGGTTAGGTGGATGAGTCTAGCAGCAGCATTCATGGTAGACTGAAGGAGGGATAGCCTATGAAGAGGTTGGCCAATAGGGAAGAGAGAGTTGCAATAGTGGAGGCAAGCGATAACCAGGGAGTGAATTAGCGGTCCCATTGGGGTGTATTTTGAAATGTTATGGAGGTGAAGATGGAAAGTTTTGGACAACAATTGGATGTGGTGTTGAAAGGACATGTCAGAGTCCAGGGTCACACCTCACACCCTGGCATGAGGGGAGGGACTGATAGATGTGCTATTGATCTCAAAGGAAAAGTTGGGGGGAGAAAAACATGTCCGCAGTACAAACCACCTTTTCTACCACTGCCACCACTGTGTACAAATCTGGCAGTGGCCATACAAGTACACATTTTGTCTTCCTGTTCATTATTGCAATCCTGATGGCATCACTGGTTCCCTGTGCTTCTCTATGCACTCTACTACTGTGTGTAAATAGTTTATGTTTGTGATTGTCTCCCATACATTGAAGACTGCTTCCAGAAATCAGCACAATCACGGCTCTCCTACAACTACATTGACCGTGGATGCCAAACATCTGACAATTGTCCGTGTTCCTTCCAAGCCTCGTGATATGATAGCCTCACCTGTACATAATGATGTTCATATAGCAGCTGTCTTGATTGTAGCATGGGCTCAATAAAATATCATCTCCTCGGGCAAAGCGGACCTCTACCGGAAAATGGGCCACCACATGCGGGTTCTTCTCCAGCCAGGATTTCAGCTGCATTAACGCTTCCGAGGTCTTTTTTCTGTATGATACGACAGTATGTGAGTGGTTGGAAAACAAAGATGGCGGCTATGGTGTAGCTAAGTGGTTAACACCATAGGTTCATGGGCGCTGCAGTGCTGTGCTAAGTTACCACATGGTCCACTGTCTCTTCTTTGCACGGGTGTAATCCGAACACATGACTAAAGGCTAAATTGGTCATAGAATGTGGGAGTTTGGCATTGTTGAGGGCATCAGGCTGTGAGCTCCTCTGCGGTATGGACCCATGTGAATGTCAAAGTCACCAACAGCATAGAAACAGAACCTGAGACCTCCATGCCATCATATGAGCTTGTACTGTAGAGTCCTAGGGTGACAACGCTGCACCCAGGGCCGATTTACTTTCTCTGCTGCCCCAAGGCCAGGTACCTCACGCCCTGCACTTACATGGGGATGGTACGCCCTGCACTTACATGAGGATGGTACGCCCTACACTTCCATGGGGATGGTACACCCTGCACTTCCATGGGGATGGTACGCCCTGCACTTACATGAGGATGGTACACCCTGCACTTACATGGGGATGGTACGCCCTGCACTTACATGGGGATGGTACGCCCTGCACTTACATGGGGATGGTACACCCTGCACTTACATGGGGATGGTAAGCCTGGAGGGATGGTACGCCCTGCACTTACATGGGGATGGTACACCCTGCACTTACATGGGGATGGTAAGCCTGGACTTACATGGGGATGGTACACCCTACACTTCCATGGGGATGGTACACCCGGCACTTCCATGGGGATGGTACACCTGGACTTACATGGGGATGGTACACCCTACACTTCCATGGGGATGGTACACCCGGCACTTCCATGGGGATGGTACACCTGGCACTTCCATGGGGATGGTACACCTGGACTTACATGGGGATGGTACACCCTACACTTCCATGGGGATGGTACACCCTGCACTTACATGGAGGTGGTACGCCCTGCACTTACATGGAGATGGTACGCCTTGCACTCTATGGGGATGGTACGCACTGCACTTACATGGGGATGGCCCAGTCTTGCACTTACATGGGGATGGCCCAGTCTTGCACTTACATGGGGATGGCCCAGTCTTGCACATGCTGTTTGAAGCGACAGTCAAAGTTGAAGACTTTGTAGCTGATGTCCACACGCTCGCTTCTACCGCTGAACAGCAGCCAGAAGAAGAATCGGTTTATTGTGGGGACCAGGCTTGATATGAAAGTACTGCAAGAGAAAAAAAAACAAAGCTCTCACTCCACCAGTCCACCAACACAGACAAGGGGGGTGAACGTCACTTTTTATGTTCGGGGCAGAAGTATACACTGTGCTGTACATTGTATAATTTCTGACATTTTTAAAAAGCATTTTGAAATATTTCCCATGTACTCTCTTTGCAGAGAAACAGGCGGCAACTGTGAGTCTGGTCCTCCGGAGTTTCATATATCTGGTTTTAGTTTTATGATGTGAATAGCAGTATCCCAGCTTGCACATGTGATACCATGTACTGTATATATGACGTCAAATAAAGACGCATTGATATATTGGATCTTGGTGTGTGGGTGACAACAGGGCCGGTGCTAGGATTCTAGGCAACGTAGGCAAGGTGCATTTTTGCCGCCTGACTTGCCTTGCGGTAGTGCCGGGCCTGGGTGACAACCTTCTCTACGTATAGCAGGATCTCAGGTCACACGCACACATACACAGCCGAATGACTAAGAAGAGAGACAGTTCCTCTCCTCCTATAAGAGAAGGTCCCATCTAGATCTTCAGTTTGTAGGGCCGGTCAGTGAGTGCAGAGCTAGTGCTGGGCTTTCTTATTAAAAAGCAAGGAACCTGCCTTATATGTAAAATGAGAATTTCTGCACATTGTACAAAAATAATGATAAGAAATAATTTATGAACTTTTAGACTTTCTATGCAGAATTGAGTCCACTAAAGTTTCCCTTCATAGGACCCAAGTTGTCCTGGGGTCGGGGGCTCTGAGTTATTGACGGCCAGGAGACGAGCATCTTCAGACGTCGGAGTCAGCCTACACATGTCCTTCACAGTAATCGATGAGACCAATGTCGCCGTCCCTCAGTGGAGGAAACGTCTAGAATGTCTGCAGAGGGATCATCCTCGTATGGTCACATGTTTGAGGAGTAAAAAAGAGCCAACTGTCACTCCCCCTGGGGCCGGAGAAACAGAAAAATGTGAGACTCGGCCTAATCCTCACATATCGCCCCGGATATACCCGGAAATATCCATCAGGCCGAATGTAACAGAATCGCAATATTCAGATACATGTCAGTCTATAAAATACTTAGATCTGATCTATCTATCCATCTATCTATCTATCTATCTATCTATCTATCTATCTATCTATCTTTCTATCTATCATCTATCTATTAAATTGACATTTGTTTTCCTGATCTAAATCAGCATTTCTAAAACTTGTTTTATTTAATTCCGGCGCCCTTTAAAACTATGCAAGATCTCCAGGTGCCCCAGTGTAAAATGTAAACAAATGCAGGGTACCTGTGAAATCCATACCAGACCCTTATCTGAGATGGGTAATAGTATGCTCTTCAAGGGGGAACCCCCACAGAGAAACAGAAAAAAGTGGGGTTCCACCTTCACTCCAGAAGTCCCCCTTTCACATCAGAGTCTTCCTTCACATGAGGAGCCCCCACCTTCACAGTCACCCCCCTCACACTAGAAGCCCCTCTTCAGACCAGAGTCGCCCTCTCTCACACCAGAATCTCCCCTTTCACATCACAGTCTTCCTTCACATGAGGAGCCCCCACCTTCATAGTCAACCCCACCCCCCCCTCACACTAGAAGCCCCTCTTCAGATCAGTGTCCCCCTCTCTCACCACAAGAGCCCTCGTGACATAAGAGTCATGATGCAATTTGAACATTGCGAGGCACCCCTGAGGGAGCCAGAAGGCACCACAAGGTGTCGCGGGACCCTGGTTGGGAACGGCCAATATAAATGAATGAAAATGCTGATTTGTCATAAGGAAAACATAAGTACACCCCCGAAATTCACCACCACTTCCATCCATGAGATTAGAATCTAGTATTCCAGCTCAGATTCCAATGATAGAACCTCCTTAGACTATATGCCGGTGGAACTTGTCTTGGATAGACCTCAGACATCTCGGGTCTGGTGTCTTCTCTGCTATTGACGTGTGTGGTGTCATCATGAGATGATCAGTAGAGCTCTCTAAGGCCCTCAGAAAGAAAGCTGTGGATGTCGATGAGTCTGGCGAGGGGTTTGAAGACATCACCAAATTCATTCCATGATAAGGAAAACCATCTTCCAGTGACAGAGGGTTAGATTGGAGGTCCATGACTGGCCGGCCCTGGAAATTCAGCCCAAGAGCTGACCATATCATACTAAAAGAAGTCTCCAAGAACCCCAAAATGTCATCGTGGGGCGGTCAGGTAACTTTTGCAACAATTGGGATTAAATCAATACAATCAGAAAGAGATTTCTCCAGTTCTTCCTGCATGAGAAGGTATGCCAAGAAAAAGTCACTGCTGTCCACAAAGAACATTATAGGAAGACCATTGTCTACCATTGAACATAAAAGGAAAAAACTTGGGCTTCTGAAACCATGTGCTGAAGACCGACCAATCAAATGTAGAGTTACTGATTACAGTAACATTAGACATGTTTGCAGCAAACTGAAGGCAGCATTTCATGAGAAGAACCAACTGTGAAGCATGGTGGTGGTAATTTTATGGTTGGGGGTTGCTTTGACTGGGCAGCTCACAGTCAATGAGGGAAATTCATAAAAACTAGAGCAGACAGAATCTGGGGCAGTTGCCCGTGGCAGACAATCTTTGTTTCAATTTCATTGCTTAACTGAGCAAAGTGAAGAGAGAAGGTGATTGGTTGCCATGGGCACCTGATCCAGATTTTATGAATTTTCCCCATTGTGTCAACTATACATTCTGCATCATATGGAAGTGTGATTGATTAGAATGTGGGGGTCATCTGTTCTAAGGTTGAGGTTGAACCAGAAACAGGTCTTTCAACATAATAATGATCTGAAGTACACTAGGAAATGACTGGAATAGAAGAAATAGAGGGTTAGGAATTGCCCTACTCAATGCCCCGATTTAATTCCCATGCATTCAGATACATGGCATGGTATCATTTATTTCCCGTGTAATATACTGAGTGAGGATTCAATTACTGGCCGCTGACTTTTTATGAGTCCATTTCAGATACAAATGACGATATATAATCAGTGTTGGCAGCTATGGGTAGACAGAAGCACGTCATACTTGACATTGAACACAAGAGGGCAGCAGCACACCAAGAGTGGATGTCCTCCTACTGATACATTGTAGATTATCGGAATCCTGCGCTACAATATCTTCAATGAGATTATAAAAGGTCGTCCGACTTATATATTTTCACTATCCTGCAACTGTTTTTAGGGGAGCACAGTGTCTTAGGCTCTGTTCACACCTTGGCGTATCGAATATGCGCGTTTGTCGCGCGTTTCGCGACACGCGTTTTTACCGCGATTCGCTGAAAACGTACAGGTGTCAACATCTGCCTTGCAGTACTGGGGGTCCCCGGTTTGTATACCAGTCAGGACACTATCTGCATGGAGGTTGCACGTTCTCCCTGTGGGTACTCTGGTTTCCTCCCACACTCCAATGACATGGTGGTAGAATAAACGGCTCTGGTCTAAATCAGCCCATGTATATATGTGACATAGGGATCTTAGATTGTAAGCTCCTTAAAGGAGAACTATGAGATGAGTGATTTCCACTCACCTCATAGTTCTAGCCGACCTGTGACAATGAGACTGTCACAGGTCGGCTCAGTAGATCGGGAGGTGAGTGAACACATACCGGCGTTCGCTCACCTCTCGATCCTGTCACGGCTCTCTGCCGTGACAGGGGGAGGGGCTGGATTCCCCTCTCCCCGCTCCGATCTGCCAGCGCTGACTGGCGGAACGGACGGGGGAGGGTATAGCTGGCTCTGCCTCTAGATTGGCAGAGCCAGCTGTCAGTCACGCAGCTGGGCGGATCTCGACGTCGATGTCGGGATCCGCTCCGGCTGCAGAGTCTCAGTATACCGCGAGCTGTAGCTCCCTATATACTGAGCTTAGGGTAACGGGAGGACACTAGTTTGTGTCCTCCCGTTACCCTAAGGAGAACTATGGGGAAAAACACTGACCCCATAGTTCTCCTTTAAAGGCAGGGACAGTGTAAATTGTTGGCGCTAAATAAATATCTGTAATGAATAATAAAACCCCAAACAACACACCAGGGGGCTGATCTATCAATCTTTCATTACTGCCACTAGATGGAGCCGAGGAGCACAGAAAATTCCCATGCTCCTCGGTGCCATCTAGTGGTCGTAGTGATATGCAAATGGGTGATGTATAAATTAACCCCCAAGGGGGGTGCACAGGATCAGTGAGAATCACTTCCCAGCAAATATGAGTATATTCTCCATTCTGAACCCCCCTGCAAACTCCACTTGTGGCGTGCACATTCTCACATATCCCGCAGCCACTGATTTAGATCCATGAACAGAAATCCGATGAATGAAAGGGGCGGGGCCAGGGATAGTCAGGCTGGGGAGGAACACGTTAGATGATACTGGACCTCCTCCAGCCAGTAAATGAGGCTGGGCTCTATCTGACTTGCTGCAGCTTCTAATGCACATTGTGAGGAGCTCAGAGTGTGCAGAGATATCAGAGGGAGAGCAGAGGAGTTGGTACAACTGTGCCAGACTGGAGGTGGAAATTCCTCTTTAGTCCACTGTTACCATATAGGCCCGGGCATGGATAAAGAGTTGCAGGTATTTAAGTGTTGGGAGGTGGAGCTTGGCAGCCAAATTGATTCATAAGCTCTGCCCTCTCTCTTATTACAGTGAGCCCCTGAACAATAATATACATTGTAACCATGTGGCCTATAAACTATTATTTATTTATACCATTGGGAAGATATTGTATTAACTTCCTACAAATGTACATATACCCCTCCGTCCCTCCCCTATAATCATAAAATATTTGAGCTTGACTTATTATTATTATATTATCCCCTCTGAATTTCATGGTGGGGGGGTCAGTGGTGGGACAAACATCACCCTGTGACTCTGATGAGGTTGTTACTTTTTCTGATTGAAGCCTATAAGAATCAGTATTTGTCATTTCCATGATACTGCTCTAGGGGGCAGTCACCTCCTTCCAAAAACTCGTGGGAAGAAA